TGAAATTAAGGAGGCAAGCTAAGTCAGAGACCTGGAGTCAGCTGAAGGGGTTATTTGAGATCAAGTGTTCAAACCCAGGGCGCTGAAAGGGGATAGGGGCTCAAATACAAAGCCCCAGAAGAGGGTTGGTTGTGGAAATCAGGAAAGCAGCGGGAAGCAAGGCCGGTCAGGTGCTGCCTTTGCCAGGATGAAGGGGGTGACCTTGGCGAGGTCGCTTTTCTCTTTGAGCCCCAGTTGCCCCGTCTGACAATTGGGAATGAAAAGACCTGCTCTGGCTGGCTTGCAGAAGACCGTGCGGATGTGAACATCCTTTGAAAGGTTGAAAGACGCCATTAATATTCATTTTTGCGGTACCTTGCACGGCTCCGAGGCTCGGCTATGCCCTGGGCAATTGCCTGGCTTCAGTTAGCTTCCTGCAAGGAGGCGGCGAGCCCCCTCCTCCAGAGCCGCGCAGATTCCCGCGCCCCCGCCCCTCCCACCAATCACTCCCACTCCTTGCTCAGCGCAGGGTTACCAGCCCCGGGTCTTGGAGAGGGGCGGGGACGCAGCACGCTGGCCTGGGGGTCGGGACCGAATCTGACCTGTCGGCGCCGGTTTTTGCTTCACCTCCCGCCCCACCCCCCCAGCGCCCCGGGATGCCGTCTGGAGCCCGAATGCCCCACCAGGGGGCGCCCATGGGCCCCCCGGGCTCTCCGTACATGGGCAGCCCCGCCGTGCGACCCGGCCTGGCCCCCGCGGGCATGGAGCCCGCCCGCAAGCGAGCAGCGCCCCCGCCCGGGCAGAGCCAGCCACAGGGCCAGGGCCAGCCTGTGCCCACCGCCCCCGCGCGGAGCCGCAGGTGAGTACCCCCCCCGCCCCGCGTGGAAGGGCGTGTAGGGGTGGGCAGGCAGAAGCCTCGGGGACCAGGTGGGTGAATGATGGGTTTGGGAAGCTGAGGAAGGATGTTAGCAGCGAGCAAGTCATTGTGGCTTGGACACTCTCTGGGGAGTGCTTAGGGGGCACTGGTCTGGTTCTTTTGTGCCCACAGTGGAGACAGGCTACGACAGACAGCTGCCAGTGTCCCTTCTCTGCACGCACCCTTTGCTCTTCTGCTTGTCACTTGCTAAATCCTTTTTCACATCCTTTACCCCAAGTTCTGGATGATGCTTCAGTCTTTGGGGAGAGGCAGGGCTGGCAATAGACTGAGGGCTGAGCTTTAGCTGCGTGATTTCTAAAGTGTGGTCCTCTGGTACCTCCCTGCTAGCCCGGATCCCTGAGCCCCAGGCTTCGTCAGAGCCCCTCTAGATCTCCACAGTCCTATCTTGGCAGTGGGTGTGGATAGACGTTGTAGCCCCTCTGAGGGACCAGCTCTGCCCCCAGGCCACCGGACTAGCTTATTTGTCTGAGAAGTTGGTGGCACTCCCATGGCCCCTGCTGACTGTTGGCAAGATCCCTATGGGCATCAGTATTTAGCCAAACACGCATGCTTCCTTTTGCACAACAGATGGGTTCTTATGCAAGGTGTGATATCAATTTTACCTCGTTATTAAGTAGTTTTTACACACCAAGGAAAATCGTTTATAGGCATCCCATGATGAATTCTTTTACAAAGTGAACCATTATCTTGTTTAGCAAATAACTCTTTGATTTGTTGTGTATAAGTTAAGAGTCTTGTGTGAACAATTTATTTGAAATCCTTTCACTAGAGGCTGGCCCAACCTAAGAATGTTTTGTTTTTCTTTTCTTTCTTTCTTTTTTTTTTTTTTTTTCTTTAATGAGTTGCTTGCCTGGCCATAGAATGGATTTCTGGACAGGGAGGGGGCAGTGAGTGGAAATGCCACATGGGGGCAGTGTAGAGCTATCCTCTAGGCTGTATGTTCTCTTGGCCAGCCAAGGGTTTTCTGGGATGCTTTTGAAGGTGAGAAGCATCCAAATCCCAGGTACTATCTGCCATAGGTACAGCCTCTTTGGTTTCAGTGTTGAGTCACACTTATATAGAACACTCCTGCACATTTTCAGGGTGTGTCCCTTGGTTGGCAAATGGTCCAAGACCACAAGCTCCTCCTGCCCTTAAACAGTCCCTTCCAAGCCCAGAGCAGCAGGAGTACCAAGCCCCACCAGCTTCACACCACACCACGATGGCTCCAGGAACCAGGTGGAAGAGCCATCTCTCCCCCTCTTGGAACGCAGGCTGTCTTGGGCATGTACCTCCTGCTTGGCAGAAGAAGGTCCTCAGACGTTGTCTCCTCTCTACTTTCCTCCCCACCTCCCAGCTTTTTGCAAACACTTCTGCAGTCATCTATTGGCAACATCTCTTCTTACACTAGTTCCTCTTAAGTCTGAATTTCTCTGGTTCTGAGGATGTATGTGGCGCAGTATGAGGTGGTGGTGGTGGTGGGGTCCCAGGCCAGAGAAAGGACCAGTCAGTCATCCCGCTTTCCAAAGGGAAGTACGAGCTCCACATCACTGTTATAGCCCTCAGACGGGCAGACAAGCAGGCTGTGGGAACCCCAGCCAGGCGGGCGGAGATGTCGGGATAATTTAGCAGGTGGCCTCGTTACTCCCAGATCTGTCGCCATGGTAACCTGTTTTTTTCTTTTAAAAATGTACAGTGCCAAGAGGAGGAAGATGGCTGACAAAATCCTCCCTCAAAGGGTGAGTGCCTTTCACAGCAGCCCCCAGCCGGCCCCCATCCTCTGCTGCTCCGCCCTTCCAGCCTCCCTCAGGAATGATGCTTTGGGCTCAGCTCAGCGTCATAGCCACTTTCACTTTTTGTTTTAAAAGCTCATTAAGAAGTGAGGCTCCCTATAAGGGAGGGTAGGGCGGGACTAAGAGAAGGAGTGGCGAGCCATGGAGGGAGGAGGGGCAGAGCACAGGGCCTGAGGTTAAGAGGGTTGAATGCCAGTGGTTCAAAGGCATAAAGGCATGGGACAAAGAAGGGACAAGAGACTGCTAGGTGATGGGAACAGAAGGTAGCAGGAAGTCCTGGACATGGGAAAGGGTAGCAGGTGTGGGGCCAGGAGGTAACAGGATGAGGCAAGGCACCTGCTGAGCTGCTGGTTGCTGCCTCCTTCCCTGGTGATGAGATGCATGGATTTTCCTGGAGGGAGAAGCAATCTTTATCTACATACAATGAGACTATATAATAGAGTCATGGGGACAAGTCCTCTCTGCACTTTCAGAATTCCACACCCTGAAATCAATCGGACAGCTCCCCTACATGTCCTTTGTGTCCTGTGATCACAGATCAGACACACGTTCTGCATGGCAAGATTGGCTGACCCCTGCTTCCACTTTGTTCCTCCTCCAGATTCGGGAGCTGGTCCCTGAGTCCCAGGCCTACATGGACCTCCTAGCATTTGAGAGGAAACTGGATCAAACCATCATGCGGAAGCGGGTGGACATCCAGGAGGCCCTGAAGAGGCCTATGAAGGTGCCTTAGTGTGGGGGTAGGAAGAGGGCTCTAAGTGCCCTGTTCAGGAGGAGAAAGCAGGGTACCCCTGGGTGGATGCACACAGCCCTTGTCCTGTGCTACACTTTATTTCTACAGCAAAAGCGAAAGCTGCGCCTTTATATCTCCAATACTTTTAACCCTGCGAAGCCTGATGCTGAAGATTCTGATGGCAGCATTGCCTCCTGGGAGCTACGGGTGGAGGGGAAGCTCTTGGATGATGTACGTCCTGGCCCAGGTCTCTCCAGGTGTCCTGGGGTGGGTATGGGCTGAGTCAAGGACAGAACTAAATGTCTGTACTGGGAGTTGGGTAGTCAGCCCTGGCTGGGGAGGGTGGGCCTGGGGACAGTCTGAGTACAGAAGACTGCCTCTGAGCATACTACCTGCCTGCTGCCAACTTGGCCCATTCTGTGTCCATGGTCCCTGTTCTGCCCCCACAGTCCCTGTCACTTTCCCACAGCCCAGTAAGCAGAAGCGGAAGTTCTCTTCCTTCTTCAAGAGTTTGGTCATTGAGTTGGACAAAGACCTTTATGGCCCCGACAACCACCTTGTTGAGGTAAGACAGATTGCTTCTGCTCTTGAATCACCGCCTTCCTGCTAACCCAAGACCCTCAAGAAGCTACAGATTTGGAATGAGGACCACCCTAAAGTCCTAGGCCCCATCCGTCCAGATAGATCTGTAGGTGACCTAGCTCTCCCCTGGACAGTGGCACCGGACACCTACAACACAGGAGACAGATGGGTTCCAAGTGAAGAGGCCAGGGGACTTGAGTGTACGCTGCACCCTGCTCCTTATGCTGGACTATCAGGTTGGTTTTACCCCTCACCTGCATATGCCACCCAAAGAACCCATTCTTTCTACCCATCTCCTCTAGGAGCATGCTGCCAAGGACCATAAGCCCCACGCCCAAGTCCCACTTTCCCCCCTTTGATCTAATTGTCCTGGTAACCTTTTCCCAGCCTCCCCAGTTCAAACTGGACCCCCGCTTAGCCCGGCTGCTGGGGTTGCATACACAGAGCCGCTCTGCCATTGTCCAAGCACTGTGGCAGTATGTGAAGACCAACCGGCTGCAGGACTCCCATGACAAGGAATACATCAATGGAGACAAGTATTTCCAGCAGGTAACAGATGTCCTAAGCCCCAGGATCCAGAGAGCAGGCACAGTGACCTAGCAGAAATGCCCCTCAAAGGTAGCCAGGATCAGTCAGGGTCATGGCCTTAGAAATAAGAGCAGGGTCTCATCCAGGCTCTTCCACTGTCTATTTTACTGCCCCTCAAAGGGAGCATATCTGGGACCCTCCTGGGGGAACGGGCAGCAGCATCCTGTAATGTAATCTTGGTATTTGGAGTTGGGATCCCCAGGGTCCCAATCCTGGGTGTAGACTTGGGTAACTTACTTTGCTATTCTTTCTGCCTCTGGTTCTGTCTTTGACATGAGGGTTGGTGAAAGCTATGCCATCACTTGTATCTGGCAGCTAAGAAAAACCAGATTATTGCAGAAACAATCTGGCAAAATTCTATCAAAGTATTACTATTAATGTATTTAAAAATAAACACAGCAGATAAATCTGAGTAGAAATCGTAGTTGGAATTTATTGAGCACTTACCATATACCATTCCAATTCTAATTCACCTAATCTTCATGACAACCAGTGAGACAGGGATTGTTAATATCCCCAATTCTAGAGATGGGGGCACTGAGACCCAAGGTGTTAAGTAATTTGCTCACAGAATGTGGTAGAAGGGACCAAGAGCCAAACAGGCATAGTTAGGGCCCACACTGCCCTGCCCATTAGGCATGCCTGTTTCTCCACCTCTAGCTTGGCTCATTGCCATGATCACCCAGTAATCTGACTTGCTCTCAGCTTCTTGTGGTCTTTCCAGAATGGAAGGAACCAAATTAGTTACTGTCTCTTCACAAATGCACACACGAGGCTGACCCCCTCTCAACAACCCTGCTTTAGATTTTTGACTGTCCCCGCTTGAAGTTCTCTGAGATTCCCCAGCGCCTCACAGCCCTGCTGCTGCCCCCTGACCCAATTGTCATCAACCATGTCATCAGGTGAGGTGGCCTAGCTTCCTCCATAGACAGAGGAAAGCCTTCCCTGCTTTCTCCACCCTCCTCCTGTACCCACCCCTGCCCTAGCCCTGGGCCTCTGTGGGGTATACCATAGACATCAAAGGCTGGGCTTCTCTGGCAGCGTGGACCCATCAGACCAGAAGAAGACAGCGTGCTATGACATTGATGTGGAGGTAGAGGAGCCACTGAAGGGGCAGATGAGCAGCTTTCTCCTGTCCACAGCCAACCAGCAGGAGATCAGTGCTCTGGACAGTAAGGTGCGGCCTGAGCCCAGAGCTAGAGTGGGACATTAACCAAGAGAGAGGACAAAACACTCAGACCAAGCATGGGCCTAGGACATGAGGGACACACAGCTCTTTCCCACTTTGAGAAGCTGACCTCATTCCAAGTTCAGCTCTGCCCACCCCATCCCTCACTGCTCAAAGGAAATGGGCTCTGGGGAACTGCCCTTCGCGGAGAAGCAAGTCCCCCACCCCAACCCTTCTTCCCTTTGCACTCCTCTCCCACAGCACAGGGTCAGGTGGGAATTATTGTCTTTCTACCTGTAGATCCATGAGACGATTGAGTCCATAAACCAGCTCAAGATCCAGAGGGACTTCATGCTAAGTTTCTCCAGAGACCCAAAAGGCTACGTCCAAGACCTGCTCCGCTCTCAGAGCCGAGACCTCAAGGTGAAGAGAGAGGGCTCAGGGAGCATTGACACCAAGACAAGCACATGGGGAGGGAAAGATGGACATGCAGCCCGGGCAGGTGAGGCACTGGGGAACTCAGGACAGACCCCATGCTCCCTCCCAGGTAATGACAGATGTGGCTGGTAACCCTGAAGAGGAACGCCGGGCTGAGTTCTACCACCAGCCCTGGTCCCAAGAAGCCGTCAGCCGCTACTTCTACTGTAAGGTAATGGAGGTCCTTGAACATGAGGCTTCCCTCTCCTCCAATCCTGGCGAACCCTTGCTTCTCCTTCCAACAGTCTTTGCTGCTGCGTATGCGTAACACCTGTCCACCACCCTACATCCCCATGCAGTAGTCTCCTGGCTCCCAGACTCTTTCAGGGAAGGGGTACCCCCTGGTCACTCACCAGGATCACTGTAACCCTGCCCCTGCTCACACTTCCTCTAAAGATCCAGCAGCGCAGGCAGGAGCTGGAGCAATCGCTGGTCGTGCGCAACACCTAGGAGCCCGTGAACAAGCATCACTGTGGATCAGCCAGCCACCATCCAGCATAGGCCTTGGACTCTAGCCTCCCTCCCCTGCTACCGTGGGGTTTCGGGCAGAGTGGGGAGGACTGGATTATTAAAGGTCACTCATCAGACAGCAGCCTCGTGGTCATTGGGGACTGGGAAGGGAGAAAGGGAAAGAGGGGGTAGGCAGTGGGACCTTGCAGACAAACGCCACAACCCTCCCACAGATTCTTCTTCTTACCCTCTCCCTAGACCTAAAAACAGTTTAGCAGAAGATATTTTTAATTAACATTTTCTTATTAAAAAAAAAATACAGCGACAAGCCCTCCATCTGTCCATCACCTTGCCTTGCCCTTCCTGGGACTATGGCAGGCGTAGGGGTGGGTGGGGAAGCTAAGTGCTATTGGCCTGCTCCTGTTCAAACAGAGCCATGGCCAGCTGGGCACGGCCTCCCAGCCCCTCCAGATTACTCAGGCGGCAGCGGTGGTACAGTTCCTCGCTGAGCCGGGGGCTACAGTCCCGCAGGGAGAACTTCTGCACCAGCCCTGGCTCTACGGCTCGAAAGAGGTGGAGCCCTGAGAACCGGAGGAAAACATCCATCACCTCCAGCCCCTCCAGGGCTTCCTCCTCTTCCTGGCCTGCCAGTTCCCCAGCCAGCCGGGCACGGGCTGCCAGGTAGTCAGCATTGTAGAAGCAGCCCTCTGCCGATGCCTGCCGGTCAAATCTGCCCCCGACAGGAGCCCCCCGAGAAGGGTCCACACCAGGGGATGGGGGGTCGGGGCCAGCCCCAGGGACACCTGGGGGGGATCTCTGTGGTGACAGAACAGGGTTGAACTCCTGAAAGTGGACTGGAAAGAAGGCCTGCCAGCCAGAGATGGCATTCATACGGCAGCGGTTGAGGACTTCCGACCCAGGTCTTGTCCACACGGTGGTAAGGAAGAAGAGTGTGTCCACAGGGTGTTTCTTGGAGATGACATCCATGAGTCGCACCTGGGAAGGGGCCTCTGCTCGCACAGCAAGCCAGGCCAGCCTTGCCCCAGGGTACCTTCGTTCTAACTCAGCTGCTGCAGCCTTCACCCCAAGAAACGGGTCAGGGCCCCCGCGGCCTTCCCGGGGCCCATATACCAACAGCAGGGTGAGCAATGCATGTTCTCGGGGCTCCAGAACACTGGCAGCAAAGGCCTCAAGAAAAGCCAGGGCGTTGGGAGCTTCAGCCACCAGGAGCGGCAACACCAGCTGCACCCGGGTAGCCTCAGTAACATAGGGCATAGGCAGGATTTCCACCTTGCTCAGTGGCCGCAGCAGGCTGACTCTGCGGGCTAGGGAGCGTCGGTGCCCTCGCTGAGTCACAGCTTCCAGGAGCAAGTCGAGGGTGTACTCCATGCCCCTGGCAGGGTCAAAGCGCCGATAGCCATTGAGCAGCCGCTGTTTCTGGAAGCGCAGGCGGGGCTGATAGCGCCGATTGAGCTGTTCCAGAGCAGTGTCCACAGCATCGCCTATGTCTGCCCTGCTAGCCCCCTGCAGCGGGCATTTGGGAGCCCCATCTGTACAAGCAAAGGTGTGCTGCTCTGTGAAGTAGTCCCAGCCTAGAACCTCGAAGCGAGAGTGTGGAGTGAAAGGGGCTGGGAGCCCAACAGGCCAGCTCAGCCCTGCCTCCCCTTCAGGAGTCAGCACCGTCAGGTTCCGGATCTGAGCCTAGGTTGGAGGGAATGCACTCAACGTTAGTGCTAGTTTTAAGATCCCACCGGACTCCAGATGCCCTGGCTAAACACTTAGTCCTTTGCATATGTCACATCAGTCTTCATCTGTAGTGCAGAAGGGAGATGAGTACTACCTACCTTACACAGCTGCAGCCAGGAGGATCCTGTGCTTTGCAGGGAAGTGGATCTCAAAACAGAGCTCAACACGCTTTCACTCTCATGTCCACAGGACTCACATCCTCTTCAAGATCAGACCTTTGTTCCTATCTATACCCCACCCCTGGAGACCCCCACACTACAGAACTCCCCCTCTCTGCTACCTTTTGGACCTTTTAGGACAATTCTAGCAGCTTGGGACCCAAATGTGTGGGTTGCTGTCTCAGGTGAGGAGTACTATAGGGGTGTTTAAGGGAGTTTACCTACACATTTGGGAGCACTTGAGTCAGCCCAGAGCTTGTCCCCGCAGTGGTTTTACATTTAGGAAGTTAGCTTCTTTCTACCCTACTAGCCTGGCCCCCAACTCAGTTACCTTCCCTGTAAGCCTGACTCCTCTGCTCCCTGAAAACTTCCCGCCGTGGCCCTCAGGCACAGATCACTGCATCAGCTCACCTGTAGTTGTTCTATTTCGCTGTAAGCCCGCTCCAACTCCAGAGCACTGAAGCGTTTGTGGAGCCGGTACATGAGGGTACCTTCTGAGACAGGGTGAACGGTGAAGGCACTCAAGAAAGCAGAGCTCCCCTCCTTCTCAGGGTCCCTATTCTTGGCCAGTTCGAAGGAGCGATACTGTTGTCCCTAGAGGGACCAATCAGATAATCAATGCTGTACACATAAGCTGTTATTCCCAAAGCTCCCTCGGCCCTCCTTAGCATTCATGCCATCACTGCTGTTGCTTTAGAGGACAGGAATGCAGTGGCTCCCCAGCCTTCATTCCTCCTTCCAATGACCATACTTCGGAAACAAGAAAGCAAGCAGGCAACTAAGGACATTCTCTTCCCCCAAGAATGCCACTGTTCAATGAGAAGAGTCAGCAGACCCTCCCAGTAGGCTGGTGAAGATGGCCTGCCTCTGGGATGCTCCACCTTCTGTAGTAGAACAGAACTACTTTCTGGGGTAGTAGAGGGACCTCTGGGCTTTCCATTTTGGGGGTGGCCAACTCTAGAACATTTTCACATTGTCCTTAACTATGATGTGCACTGGATGTGGGAGGTGGTGAGTGCAGACACCTTTCTGGCTTTAGGGATCCCTAAGGATACGCATTTTTAATGGCCCCAGTGCTGTAAGTTGAGCAAGGGAGAGCTGAAGGGGCAGGCTGGCATCTGGGAAGGACAAAAGGATAGTCTCGAGAATTCAGTTTGGACAGCAATTATTCAGTCACTGCCAAACTTTGGGGGACTGGGACTGCCTTGAAGGGGCTGTCACCTGGTGCTGTGAGACACAGCCGATGCCCAGAGTGTCGATGAGGCAGCGGCCAAGCCATTCATCAGGCCGGGCACTGAGAATGTCCCCTCGGCAGCCATCCAGATGTGGCCGCAAGCGCAACAGGAGACTCCGTGACAGCAGGTAGCCAAAGCCCCCATGGCAGTACCGGGCCTGCTCGCCTGCACCAATGAATTCCTCTGCACGGCCCAAGTACAGGTCTTGGTTGATGCTAAGGTGGCCAGTGAGAGCTGCCAATCGGGGGGCCTGCACATACGTGTCATCCTGCATGATGAAGAACCAGTCATAGTCAGCCCCAAAGTGTGTGTGAAGGTGGCGCAGGGTCTCTGACATGAGCCAGGCAGGCCGCTCATCTCCATGAGACACCACCTGCATCCCTGCTGGAGCACGGGCCCCTCGCTGCCCTGTGAAGTAGAGTACTCGAGGGAAGTGATGTGCCACTGTGCGGTTAACAGCGACGGCCAGTGTGGACAGTGTGGCGCGGGAAGTCAGGACAGCTACCAGCAAGCGCTCACGAGAGCCCAGCTCTGTCTGGATATACCGAGTCCTGTGGAGAGATCCGAAGATAAGGGATCAATTCCTGAGTCCTCAGGGAAGCATTTGCCAGCTTGCCCAGCACACACTATAGGAATGAAAGAGCTGGGGAAGCAGAGAGAACTCCTCCCTCATCACTATTAACTAGCTTCTGGTATGAGAGCCCACTGAGTAGGTGATGCTGGACTACAAGCAGGTGGGGGCAGGATCTGCTCAGGTCTATTCAGTGGATTACTGCAGCTACAGCTCTGTTCAAGAACAGTAAACATCAACACCAATGGGTCAAACTCTCAGACTCGGGCATGGATAAAGTAGGAGCAAACCATGATTGGAAACAAGTGTTTCTAGGAAAGTAACACTGAGTAGCAATGCAAACACAGCAGCAAACAGCTCCAGAGTGAGGATCAGTGCCGGGGGACTGTGCACTTATCACCCTCACCTGAGCACCTTCTTGTAGGGCTTGTTAGGATCTCTGTAGTAGGGGACAATCCTGGGTTTGAAGTCTTCATCGCTTTGGTCCAACCCAGTTTTTGAGTCTGGATTCTGTGGCCCTCCTGGCTTCCCCACAGCCTCTACACAGGGATCTTCTCCCTCACCCTGGATCCAGGAAACGCGCAGAAGGCTCAGGCTGCATCCCAAAGACAGCCCCAGGATGAGGGGGAGTGCTGGTCGCAGCAGAGCCAACAGGGAGCTCAGTCGCATGGTGGCAGGCCCTAACATGGAGTGCCCCAGGGAACAGCCTCAAGGATCAATAGGTTGATAGGCACTAGGCCAGCAGTAGCCACACAGTTTTAGCCAGGGAACCTGAGGTAAATGAGGTCAGCAACAGAGAAAGGAGCAAAGTGTGCTGGTTTCCAAGTCCTACATTCCCCACAGTCTTCCCAACTCCTTATATACCTGGTCTTCAGTGGCCACAGTGCTGATACCTTTCAGCAAAACACTTAATGTCTATGTGAACAATGCCACTCACTACTGGGATTGCAGTCTGTAGTCCAGTAGAAAGAGGAAAGAAAGTCAATACCGTCAAACCCAGCCCAAAAAGGGGTTACATCCATTAGAAGCATGGACCTAATTCAAAATCAGCAGCAACTGATGCAGCAGGTTAGGGAAAGGTGCATGCACCATCTAAACAACAGCCCCACTTCAGCCACCCTGGCCTGGCCTGTAGGTATCATGGCCCACCATGTCTACTCAGGCCCAAGAAGGGACTCCTGACCTACTGCTGCAGGCTAGCACTACAGAAGGGGTCAGAGCCTCCTTCCACCCTGCTCCCGAGTGTCATAGAAACCCAAGTTCTATTAACTCCCTCCTTGTCACATAAGATCACTAACCAACCATTCATGGTGCATACTCATCTGCCCACCCAAATGAAGTGGACAGCTACAGTGACTCAGCACAGCTGGCCCTCTCAGAGGAGCGCAATGGCTGACGGAGCCATTTTGCAGGCCATCCCACTCAGTCCTGTAAGAGGTGCTGTTCACCTTCCTAAGAGCAGCAAGACACAAATTATAGGCACTCTTGATGTAGCTAGAGGTTACCAAATAAAGCAACCCGGGAGACAGCTGCAGTTAGAGGAACGCTGGGGTCTGGTAAGGCCAGCAGAGGCTCACCACCTTCCAACAGGACCCCCGCCTGAGCCAGTCAGTGCCCTACTAGGTTCCTTGGCAACCACAGCCCCGTGCCAACCCTCGGAAGAAGCCCCAAAGCAAATGCTAGCCGATCGTCTGGAGTCAGAAATGAATCGCCTACGTCCTGCGATTGCAGAGGAGGCCTGGCGTCCAGCTGGTTTGCCCTGCCAGCCCTGGCGGCGGAAAGGAGGTCGCGGCAGAGAGCGGGTGCTCAGGGCGATCAGGCCGACAGGGACACCCGAGCCCCACGGCAGGCCGGGGCGAAGATGGGGCCGCCTCGCGGGTGACGAGACCAAGAGCCCACCCAGTTGCGGGACGAGGAGCTCCGCTCTGCTGCTGCTGCTGCTGCTGCCACCTCACAGCCTAGCCCTTCCTGGGCTTCCTCTTCCGCTGCCTGTCAGTCACCCGTCTCTATGGGGACCACATCCGGCCCCTTGCTCCCGCCTCTCACTCTCTATGGTTGCTGTTGCACTGCTCGATTTGGAAGCTGTGTTTCCTCACACCAACATTGGTGAATCCCGACTGGAACAGAGGTGTTTCCTTACTTCAGCTCAACCTTGTTAGTGCTAAAGAAAGATGCCCTGGGTTAGCCTCAGATTCAGTCTATAGCTCTAAGACGGTGAGAACTGCTGGAGACAGGCCACAGACAGTAACATAATACCGTAAGTCTCAAGGCAGAGAAGTAGGGAATTAAGAACCAGTCAGATGACTCACCGTGTGAAGAAGGTGCTTGCCACCAAGACTGATGACGACCTGAGTTCCATGTCTAGTGAAAGGGGAGAACTGGCTCTATCAAGTTGTCAAGTGAATGCACGCACACGCACACACACACCTATTAAATATAGAATTAAGTGGAAAAACAAAGCAGAAAGAATTTAATTAGGTTGTGATATGGACTTATCCAGACATAAAGCAGAGTTTTCCCGGCAAAGAGAACACAGGAAGGCCTAGAGAGAGGGAGGAGATTAACCAAGAGCCAAGGCAAGCTAGAGCCAAGTGCAAAGCAGCCCAAGGTGAGCCTACAGGCAAAGATGGCAGTGAGCTCCCAAGAAGGGCAGCGCCACACCTAGAGAGCAGTTTGCAAACGTACAGGGGCAATTTTGCTGTCAAATGATACCTGGGTATGTTTGTATGTGTGATGTTTTGTACATTGTAAGAAGGTGACTCATATGAAAGTTGTCCTGATCCCATATAGCTTTCAATGTCCTCAACATTCTTGTAGGTGGGGAAAAAATAATTGCAATATTCTTATCCTTGTACCTGTGCTTAAAAAAAAAAAAGACCCAATTCCTGCTGGGCAGAGGTAGCACACACCTTTAATCCCAGCACTTGGGAGGCAGAGGCAGGCAGATCTCTGTGAGTTCCAGGCCAGCCTGGTCTACAAAGCAAGTTTCAGGAACGCCAGGAAGAGAAACTCTGACTCACCGCCCACCCCCCCCAAAAAAGAGAACCAATTCTGCAGAACTTGTAACATGTCCTAATTCTTTAAGATTTTTTATATAAAAAGATTTATTTTTATTTTATGTGCATGGTTATTGTTGGGTTTCTGTTTGTTTGTTTTGCCTGCATGTATGTGTACCACATGTGTTCAGTAACAAAGCAGACTAGGAAATGACATCATATCATTTAGAACTGGAGTTATAGATGTTGTGTACAGCCAAGTAGGTGCTGGGGGCAGACCCTGGGTCCTCTGGAAGAGCAGCAAGTTCTTCAGCCCTGTGCTAAATTCTTAAGAAACAACTCACATGGATGGAAGATTGTTAGGCTTGGAATATACTAAGTTACCATTTTGGAGAACTTTTATCATTTATAGAGATGTATGTCATATTCTCTCTTCTTCATTTTTGAGCATGCTGAATATTTTATTACACAATATTTCCTTTTACTTTTTCTGTCATGGTCAAGAACTGTAATTTTGTACTGTTTTAATTTCGACACAAGGTCTGACTATATGACATGAACTTGAACTCATAGAAATCCACTTGCCCTGCCTCTTCAGTGCTAGGATTACAACCATCACACCTGGCTGTTGTCAGTCATTAAAAGTAAAAGGAATAGGAAGAATTAACTTTAACATTTTATTTTGTATTAGATATGTCTTAGAATTTTTATTGCTGTGAAGAAACACCATGACCACAGCAACTCTTACAAAGGAAAACATTTAATTGAGAGTGGCTCACCTACAGTTTTGGAAGTTCTGTCCATCATCATCATGGTGGTGAGCATGTTGGCATGAAGGCAGATGTCGTGCTGGTAGCTGAGAGTCCTACATCTTGCATGCAATAAGTCAACTGAGACATTGGGCAATACCCTGAGCATAGGAAACTTCAAAGCCCACCCCCACAGTGACACACTACCTCCACATGGTCATACTCACTCTGTTGTGGGATTTTGGTCCATTTAGCCTATGGTCTTGTCTGTATACATGAACACTTAAAAGCTGAGGGGAGGTGTCTCTCTCTCTCTCTCTCTCTCTCTCTCTCAGGTCCCAGCTCCCCTGGGCAGAACAGCAGGAGACAGAGAAAGTTACTGGATCATAGTGGTGTCTAATCTGTTCTGTATCAGTGAATATTTATCCCCATTTTATATCTACATAAATTCTATAAATTCTTGAGACCCTTTAACAGACTCTCATGGGTTCATGTAACACCACTCCAACAAAGCCACACCAGATTATGGGGGGGCAACCACACTCTACTACAAGATATAACTAACTAAATTAATCAGTTCAATATGGAATCAATCTGAAAAGATATTGAAGTGATAGTCTACATTCTTCCATGCAAACTTTGAAACCAGGACAAATTGAACCAATAATCAGTTCTTGCTACACTGTGACTTTCTGTGACTCTTTCATATTCAGCCTTTATTTCTTCTCCTCTCATCCCCATCACTTTTCCATGCACACGATTTTAACTCAGGGTGGGAATGAAAATAATCCAAGCAATTAGCAAGTTTTCTAAGACACTAGTTTTGCTGGAGGGCTCTGCCTATCAACGGTTTACTCACAGGGTACTGTGATGGATACACTGATAGTACCTGATGGTAGAGAGCTAAAAGAGTGCAGACTTAAATTCCTGTACTGGCTCTAAGTAGGAGTGGTTTTTGTTGGGTTTGGCTTATTTTTCGTTTTGTTTTTTCTAACAAGCACTATACCTGAGCTCATGTGTAGATTGGAAACTGTGGTAACAACATCCACCTCAGATTTTTCTGGAGGAATTAAATATGACAGAAATAGCATAATGAATTATTAGTCTCAAAAATAAATATTATTCTCTTGTAACCTCCTAAATGCTTGTGACTACTATGTTAAGTAAGGCTGAGAGAAAGGAGATATGTTATAAAACAGTGCTCCCAGGAAGCTTAGGTTCCTGTGTGAGGGGCTGTGTATTTGTGTGTGATACATGTGTTTGTATCTATGCAGGTGTGTGTACATATGTGCCTGTGCAGTGGAGGCCTCAGGTAGACAGGTAGACATAGGGAGTCCCAGAGATCTGTCTTCAGTTCCCCAGTACTGGGATTACAGGTGAGTACCACTATGCCCAGTTTTTGACATGAGTGTTAGGGATCCAAGCACAGGGCCCTGTGCTTATGTGGCAAACAATTTACTGAGTGAGACATCTTTCCTGATCCCTGGGTGAAGTGATTTTGACCCACAATCATAAATAGCTCCTTTGCTTCATACAGAGGGTTTTAGTTAATTAGCTTTTGCTCATACTTGATGCTCAGTGTTTTTTTTATTTATTTTATATAACCAAGTCCATTTAAATGAAAACAAACATTTATAGACAATATTTGGGAATTTGGGCGTTGTTCTTTCCAAACTACTTCCTGCTGGTAAGGGGCGCTGTCATGGGGGATTCTAAGAAGATGCAGAAATCCTGGGATGCTCAGTATTTATGAATAATATTATATTAAATAAACAGCTAGTGTCCATTATCCTTAGACAAATTCTTTTTTTTTTTTTTTTGGATTTTTGAGACAGGTTTTTTTGTAGCTTTGGAACCGGTCCTGGCCACTCACTCTGCAGATCAGGCTGGACTTGAACTCACATAGATCTGCCTGTCTCTGCCTCCCGAGTACTAGGATTAAAGGTATGCTCCACCACCACCTGGCCCTTAGACAAGTATTCTACAAGTGACAGAACAGCATAAAGGAACTTAACTGTCTAATAGAAACCTAGGAATTTGACTAATTTAATCTTTCTAACCAATATAAGGTAAAACTGTACTACTGTCATTCTTACCACAGAGGAAAGTACATACTTTGCCCAAGGTCAAGCTCTAAATGGGAAAGCTGGGTTTGCATAAAAGCAATATGTGCCGAGTGATAGCTTGCCTCGTTGGTATTACAATAGTACATGGAAATCACTTCTTTAAGGCACTTAGCACCTGGATATCATGGTCTGTTTATTTTTCAAA